GTGTCCCGGGGGGCTGCAGTATCCGCCACCTCTCCTTCCTCGCGCAAAGGCCCGAGGCCTGGTATCGAGCCCCGACAGTTGCTTGGGTCTGAAGGGGCAGAGGCTTGGCAGGGAGGGGCAGGGACGGGATGCACCCTGCCTCAGTATACCTCGCAAACGCGATGGGGAACGTGGGGGTAGCTTTGTGAGATGCTTGCGTGGGGCCATGGGACCCTGAGCTGGGTGGGGCGCTTCAGAGCACAGCGGCACTCCTGGCCAGAGGGGTCTAGACTGCTGCTCCCTCTCTTGTCCCCTCCTTTGGGCGCCACACTCCATTCCCCACCCTCTGCTCTGCCCCCAGAGGTCCTGGATCTTAAGATCTGTTGATCAGGAGAAAGCCTAGTTAATTACTCATTTCCTCAGTAAGCACTTTCTTTTTCTATGTAGTAATTGCGTCTAACTCCTCACTAGTGTTTATATTACTTCACTGTGGTTCATGTTCGAGAGTTGTCTTTGACTGTCTAATTACTCTCTCTTTTATAAATGCCTTACATCCAGGGAATTTTTGCTGGGGTAATTCCCAGGGCCCAAAGTTCTGTTTCTGTGGGATCTTGTGATGTTTGCTTATAAATATATTGAATAAGTTTTAAATGCAACGTCAACAATGAGTCAGTCCCATGTAGGGTGTGAGAGGGAAAGCAAACCTTCATTTTCCAAAGTGAAAGGTGTGGATTTCGGTGAAATCAGGACTTGGCAAATGACAGCATTATTCTGTGTCTCAGTTATTTTTCTGTTCTGTCTCTTCTATAACCTAAACATTCTCTCCTTTCAAGGATATTAAGTGCATTTCCTGGTGAGAAAATGACAGGTAGATGCCTCCCCCAGCTTGACCCCTTAGAGGTCTGCTCTACTAGTGCACCTTTACACAGTCTGGGTTCTTTAAGTGCTTGAATTAAAAATGTTTGCAGGGCTTTCTATCCCAGCCATTGAAGGGACACATTCCTTACTAGGACTCATCTTAATGGATCTTAAAGGAGGCTTTCATACTAGTATTTTCCCTAACTCACAGGGAAAAAAATTTCGACTCACCTAGTTTTCAGATTGAACAGCATATGCAAGTACCAGGTCTATTATTTATGAGATGTTACTGGTGTACACGGTGCCTCACACATTTATACTCCAAGGAGCTTGCATTCTTAGTGGGCGAATTACCCAGCATCCTGGGAGCTGTCAGGCTAATGTTTTACCTTAGATGTGCGTGCAGTACTTGCCCCACTGTGCCCGTCTGCCCTTATTTGACTTTGCCTGCGCTTTCGAGCAATACCCATATAGGCAGTGATGCAAAATTTACAAGAGCAGAGCAAATGTGCTGAAGGAAAAACATTAAGTGGGGTACCCTTGTCAAACCTCCTAGAGAGAAGCTGTTTGCTTCTGAAAGCCTTTGAAGCCTGTCAGAAAAGTTTAGCAGTTTGAGTGGTTGCACATTCTTTTTTATTTTAGAAAATGTAAACCTAAGTAATCATAGGTGCAGAACGGTCTGTTGTAAACTTCTTTTTTAGAGTTAGGTCAAGGTTCTGAGACCTATTACATTGAAAGTACTAGAGAAATGTTAATGAATTAAGAACAATGAGATTAAATGCGTACATTTTTCTCACCCAGAAATGGGAAATTCACTACTGTATAACATTAAAAGAATGTCAGTAATTATTGTATCTATTTTCTCTCAGATTTTGGTGCTCAATATTGTCATTAATATTTGAAATTATGAATTTCTTTACCATAAGCTCAAGTTCTCATCCTGGAGTTTTGTTGACTTCAGTGGAGGGTGTTGCATTATATTGGTGCCTACACTGTTTCCCAAATCTGCTTTCTTTGCCACCTCTTAGGACAGGTAACAGCTACTTTGGTGATATTTGCACACACCACGAACTCCATTATATACCTCCCACTCAAGAGGGCGATTAGAACTTACTCCCATTAGTTACTAGAAGTACAGCTTTCCAGATCTTCAGTATTTTTAATTATTGACAAGAACAAAATGACTTGTGACCCAACTTAGAACCAGTCTTGCTGTGATTGGGTGTCTGACCCAGGGGTGGGAATTACATGGAGCTGCCAAGTGGAGGGGAGTGTGCACTGATTCTGATCCAGATTTGCCTTGTGTTAACTTGATGGAACTTCATGGGCCACAGTGTAGCCTTTCTTCTAGACCCTGAACTCTCTGAAGCTGGGGCTGAGAATTTATTATCCTTAACCAGAGACTCAGTGCCAGAACTGCCTGGCAGTAGGTGCGAAACAACTGAGTTATGTCTGTTGAATGAACAAATTAATGGCTAAATGAATTTTCAACTTTCATAAGAAAAAAACAATGTCATTCATTTAGACTGGTTTCCTAAAATGGACAGTCAGGGCAGTATGGAGGGAAATTTGTGGAGGGAAAGACAGCCATCTTTGGTTATGTGTGTGTGTGTGTGTGTGTGTGTGTGCGCGCGCGCGCATATAAATTATCCAATTCAAAATTCAAAAAGCTGGGCAGTACCTGTAACTCAGTGGGAAGGGTGCCAGCCATATACACTGAGGCTGGCAGGTTCGAACCCCACCTAGGCCAAATAAGCAACAATGACAACTGCAACAACAAAAAAATAGCCAGGCTTTGTGGTGGGTGCCTGTAGTCCTCCCTACTAGAGAGGCTAAGGCAAGACAATCGCTTGAGCCTGAGAGTTTGAGGTTGCTGTGAGCTGTGATGCTACTGTACTCTATAGAGGGCGACATAGTGAGACTGTCTTGGGGGAAAACAACGACAACAACAAAAAGTTGTTTAACTCCTGAATTTAAAGACCTATACATACCCCTCATTTGCTCTTCTCTCTTTTTCTGTAACCTTTTCTCCCCAATATGCTTATAGTAAAAATGAATACTTGAACACTTAGAATGAGAGCAAAACTTGTTTGTGGTAGCTTTGAGTGGTAAGGTTTATATGGGTGCCTTTTTTTCCCCATTTTTTTATTGTGTGTGTTTTCTAAATTTTCTGCAGTGAGAGCATGGTTACTTATTTTGTTTTTAGACTTTTTATTATGGAAAATTTCAAACATAAACAGACACATACCTGTCATCCAGTGACAGCAGTTGTCATCTGAGGCCAGGCTTGTTTGACCTTCACCCCTCTTCTCTCCCCCCACTCCCCAGGGTCACCTCATTCTGTCTATATTTCAATATATCTCTAGAAGACAAGAATTCTTTTTTAAAAACTGTAACCACAATGTCATTATCACACCTAAGTGGTGAATGATAACTTCTTACTGTTGTCACATGTGCAATCAGTGCTCAGTTTCCCTTCCTGCCTTCATGATTTCTTTCTTTTTCTTTTCCTTGCTGTATATTTATTTGAGTCAGGATCTGAGTGAGGTCTAGATGTGTCTCTTTCTTCTTCTTTCTTGCTTTCTTTTCTTTCCTTTTTTCTTTAGAGACAGAGTCTCATTCTATCACTCTGGGTAGAGTTCCATGGCATTATCGCTCATAGCAACCTCAAGCTCTTGGGCTCAAGAGATCCTCCTGCCTCAGTTTTTCTATTTTTAGTAGAGATGGGGTCTCACTCTTGCTCAGGCTGGAGAGGATGAGGTCTCACTCTCACCTCAGGAGAGCTCAGGTGATCCACCTGCCTTGGCCCGCCAGAGTGCTACAATTAATCCCTTTTTATCTAGGCTCCCTCTGGCCCTCTTTTTTTCTCAGGGGGTCATTTGTCCTGTGTAGTTTCCCATACCTGTTTTTACAGATTGGATTCCAGCAGCATCCATTAGCTACTTGGTCTTCCCTGTCCTTCTGGTGAATCAGTTCTTAGACCCAGGAATTGGATCAGACTCAGATTTGATAAATTTTCATTGTTGCTGTTGTTCAAAACTGCCTCATAGCGTTCATCAGTTCATCACGTATCTCTCAGGAGGCAACATGCAGGAATGTCTCCCCTTTCGTAACTGCAGCAGCTTTTGATGGTCATTGCCTAGATCCCCTAATTTGTTTATCACCTGTACTCTTTATAGTTAACCTTGACTGCCAGTGTCAGGCACTTGTCTGTAGTGAGTGCTCCACGGGCTGAGTGGTACATTGTGAATGACAGATGTTATGGATCACAGCGTCTACACATGTGCCATGAGTTAAAGTAATCGGTTATAACCACCAAAGCATTTACTACAACATAAATGTCTTAGGCCCTATAGAAACACAGAACGTAGTTTCTCATTGCTGTTTCCAGTGGGTCACTTGAAGAATATCAAATCTGTTTTTAACTATCATACAAGTTATCAGATTGATACTATTTTGGAATTAGTTGAGAAATGTGCTATGCTTACTGAGGACAGCAAGTTAGGGTTGAATGCCCCACTACCCAGCATCTGGAGGACAGTCACAGTGTTCCTTTCCTCTTGTGGACTTTCCCCCTTCACTCCCCTTCCCCAGTCCCAGCAGAGCTGCTGGGCCCTTAAGTGACCAGTGCCAGGTCTTAATTGATTGATGCAGGAGTGGGCTTCTGTGATCAGCTTGGTTTTGCACTTGGGACAGGGGAGGGTGTCAGATCCGTCTCTTTCCAGTGGCCAAAG